CACTTAAGTTGTCTAATTGTATCTTGTATTTCTACACTTAAGTTGTCTGATTGTAACTTGTATTTCTACACTTAAGTTGTCTGATTGTAATGTGTTTTTCTACACTTAAGTTGTCTGATTGTAACTTGTATTTCTACACTTAAGTTGTCTGATTGTAACGTGTTTTTCTACACTTAAGTTGTCTGATTGTAACTTGTATTTCTACACTTAAGTTGTCTGATTGTAATGTGTTTTTCTACACTTAAGTTGTCTGATTGTAACTTGTATTTCTACACTTAAGTTGTCTGATTGTAAAGTTTTTTCTTCACTTAAGTTGTCTGATTGTAAAGTTTTTTCTTCACTTAACTATAGAAAGATAAGTTAAAATCAAGTTGTCAGACTAACATTTATTCTTTGTTCACTTGATTGTAACTTGTATTTCTACACTTAAGTTGTCTGATTGTAGTTTTTTCTTCACTTAACTATAGAAAGATAAGTTAAAATCAAGTTGTCAGACTAACATTTATTCTTTGTTCACTTGATTGTAACTTATATTTCAATATTTATATTTTTCTATTCTAAATTTTTATTTTAACTGAATGTAACAACTTGTATTTCTATACTCAAGTGTTACTACTGTAAAAATTTTTCACCTGGTTATATCGTAACGATTGCTACGTCGATACTTAAGTTGTTTTCGTGGTCATTGTCAGGTGTTTTTTGCCTTTGATTGTGGTGGAGGAGCAGGAAGAGCATCAACAAATGAGAATTATAATGATGGCGATTGGCACTCTGTGAAGTTCTCTCGTCGTGGACGAAATGGACAACTTGAAGTCGATGGTAGAGAAGTCATAGAAGTGAAGTCACTTGGAAGCCCGAATTCTTTAAATGTTCGTGCTCCAGTGTACATTGGTGGACTGTCAGAAGATACAGCAAGAAAAGCTAAAAACAACCTTCAAGTAAAAGTTATTTTTTACATTCCAGACACAATAAGACCAACACTCCAACTGTTTTAATATTTTATATACCTTAGTAGACACACATGATTTGTGTAATTGATCCTTGTACAGGACACAATTTAGATATTCATAGTTACAGTTTGGGTATACTGATAGTGTAATAAAATTTAAACACGTAACCATGTTTGTTCATTAAGTAAGTGAATCTTTGAAAAATTAACATTTGTAGTACTTGGTTTTTGCAACAAATGTACTATGCTTTACAGTAAGGTAACTAAGTTTTCTAGTACTCACTAAATGATACAGTAAACTCATGATTTGAAAAGCATGTTATATTTTTATTAACACTGGCTTTATGGAAATATTTGTTTAATGGTAAAATCACAACTCATTGAGTGCAGAAACTCCTTGTTTTTGTATTTTAGAAACTTAATTCTTCTCTTCGGCTTTCTAGTACTGGTGGTGCTGTTCCTTTAATCTGCTTTGTGAAAGTCAAAAGATTCCCTCCACACATTCATGGGCCTGTAACCAGTGAATCTTAGGATATCACCATCTAAAACTCATTCTATAGTCAAACCAAACAACCATATGCCTTCTAATGGGGCTGTAACCAGTGAATCATAGGATATCACCATCTAAAACTCATTCTATAGTCAAACCAAACAACCAAATG